ATGGCAAGGAAAAGAAAAAGACAGATAGAGGAGGAGAGGGGAGGAAAGAGGGAGTGAAATAGCAGTGCAGACACCAAGGTCAGTGAAGAAGTGGGAGGAGGTACTCCAGGTACCAGAGCAAAAATTCCCCAGCAGCCCGTGGAGAAACCACGCTGGAGCAGGTTTGTCCTCCAGGGCTGCAGCAGGAGAAAAGGGTGAAGACGAGTGAGCGTCAGAGAGGAACTTTTGTGTCTTAGTTTCTCACTTCTTAACTCTCTGTTTTTGATTGACCATAAATTAAATTAAATTTACCCGAGTTGAGTCTGTTTCGCCCATGGCAGCAACTAGTAAGCAATATCCCAGTCTTTGTTGTGACCCAGGAGCTTTGTCATCCGGTTTTCTCTCCCTGTCCTGGTGAGGAAGGGGAGGGAAGGAGCGAATGGGTGGGCTGAGTGGTTGCTGGCCAAGGCTAACCCCCCCTAGCTTCCCACAGGCTGTTCAGCTGTCGCTGTGTGTATGCGTGCACATCAAATGTGAACAGTGAATTTCCCAGAGCGGATCTTCTGTGTTGCAAGAGTGCGGGTGGGCAGATTTGCAGTCTTGTGTGTTTCTGTGGCCCACCAGCACAAGTTCTTCCAGATCTTAAAATGACGTTTTTATTCATGCTTCATGACCTCTGGCTTGCTTTATGTAACGTGTAGCATACTGCTAAATGCTTTCTTTTAACTTGCTAGACTTTAGCAAGGAGAAGGCCCTGTAGGATCCAGCCAAACCGCAGAACAGCAGGCACAATCTCCACCCATGACCTTGGAGTGGGTTGTGGCCATTTAACTTGGGAGTATGCTTTTTTCTTTGGCACACAGATGAATAAACATAGGTGCGATGCTTTGATAGCTCTTTGGTACTGATGATAACGTTGCTGGTACATCATCAGAATTCCTTTACGACAGAAGGCTGTGTTCTGGGCGATGGCTGGTGGCCCACGCTGCAGCCTGCTTCGTTGTAAGGCCTGTTACTATCCTGGCATGCATCTTCCTGGCATGGAAGACTTTGATTTCTTAGAGAGGAGGGAAACTTTTGTATTCTGTTGGGGATAATTCACTCACGTAAAACTTCAGGTTACAAAGGAGTCCCAAATGATGGCTACGGAACAGAGCAGTTGTTGCTGTGCAGTGAGCACCAGGTTGCAGAGACCATAGCAAGGTGTGCTTGATGGAGGTGAGCATCACAGCAATCAGTCTGTCTCCGAACAACAGAGCTGTGGTCTCTGTCTCTCAAATGCAGTTAACCTCCGTTACCTATGTGAGGAAAGATAATCCACAGAAGGATTTGAAGCTCGAGTCTTCCTCAAGCTTTGGGCTTTGAAGCTTAGGTTTTTGGGCTACGGTGGTGTGACGTTCTCTGAGGATGGGGGAGATCTCCGAGCTGTTCAGCATTGGCGGTGTCTTTTCAGATCGAGACATACTGTGGTAGATTTTCTTTGTGCGGGTCATGGCTGTTGTGGACTACAAATGGACTTTTTTTGGTGCAAGTATCTTTCTACATGAAATTTAATCATGTAATTGTGTATGTTGAGAAAGAAGGATGCTCTTGCTAAGGAACACCCTCCCTGATAGCAAATTGTGGCGATTGCTAAGATAGCAACTGGTTAGTCTTGCTTATAATGGATGCTGTGTGTTTTGCAAGGGATGGCAAAAATGTCAGAGATGTCTTGGCTGGGGCAAAGGACTAATGGAAAGAGCCCACCACAGCTTTTCAGAATGCGTTGTGTACTGTTCTTCCGTCCTTCTGTTGAATCAGAACCGTTTTAGCCTTGCTTTGCTTTGGGTTTATGTTTTTCTTGCCGGTAACGATGATTTCATTGATTTCCTTACGGAAGAATCCGGACCCACGTTCTAGGGAGCAGCAGAAGCCTGTGTCACCGCCGTGCCTGTGGGCTGACACAGCTGCCTGACGGGACGCGAGCCTGCTGGCAGCACGGCGGGTAGGCTGCTGCTTGGGTGAGAGGCCGAGTAGTAGTGGATTTGCACTGTTACACCCGTTCACAGCAGCACAGCTTCACCAACCAGTGGAGTGCCCTCCGAAACCCAGCACTGCGCGAAGACCTCTCTGGGTGAGAAAGGAATGCAGACTGCAATCTGGTAGAGAACTCCTCTCTGACAGAACATCCTCCAAGGACTGTGATGACTGCAAGTCTGTTATGGGTTTGCGTGGCAAGGTTTCGGTAGCGGCGGAGCTATAGGGGTGGCTTCTGTGAGAAGCTTACCCCATGTCTGATAAAGTCAGTGCCACCCGGCTCTAAGACGGACCTGCTGCTGGCCAAGGCCAAGCCAATCGGCGATGGTGGTAGGGGCC